GAAGACAGCGGAGAAAAGTGAGGCTTCCAGAAATGAAATGAGTGACAAGGGAGAGAGAACTACATTGTATGAACTTCAACCAGCATTTTGCTGCTAATTGCCTCCACTCCTCTGAGGGCTTTGTGTGTGTGTGTGTGTGTGTGTGTGTGTGTGTGTGTGTGTGTGTGTGTGTTCCAATAAACACTAATCACCTACCATGCAATGACAGATACTCTACTAGACACATGGAATATAAAATTGAAGAATGAGGCATACCTCCTTCAATCTAATAAAAGAATGCTTTGTTTTGTTTTAAAACACATGCATAAGTAAATAAACTTACTTATTAAGATATTGACTACATTTAGATACCGATCAGGGACTCAGAATGATCAAAGACTAGATTAGTTTTTTGTTTGCTGCAGAAGGTTGGAGTTGGGGAATTGAGAGTTGATTAACAATTTTTCTCTTTCATTATACCACCTGTACTTTTCAGCTCCTGGGTAGTAATGAATCAAAGAGAAGAAATACATTTCAATCACCCAACTTTCACAATAACCCTATGATGGAATCTATGCTGATGGTTTCAACACAGTGTTTTCAGTACCACGAGTTAAAGATTTTATAATGTGACAATTTTTTAGAGTATTTCTGGGCACCCTACTACATACCAGTTGCTCCTGGACCTTGAGATTTAGGTCATCATTTCCCTTCTAAAAGCTTTACAACAAATGCACAAAGTCAGGATAAAGATGAGCAACAATTCAGAGAAACAATTTCTATTTCTAGAAATTCAATGCTTGAGACCCCTGCTGGCCTGTCTGTACGGAACCCATGTGGAATCAGCATGATCCACATTTCAAACACCAGAAAGTGAGGGAGAGCTAAATTATCAAAAAAAGAAAAAGTGGGTAAGCGTCTGAGCACTGATCTATGTCTATTCTCCCGAGTTCAGATTTACACAAATGTTAGCCAAAAAAATCTGAAGGCAATTGCTTTGTGGGATAAATCACACAGATTTAAATAGTATTTTTTACACTGATGGGAGTGGTAAATGACATCTGAGGCACTGTATTACAGCTGTGGAACAACCAGCACCATTTCAGAGAGCCAACATGTGCCAAAAGAGAAATTCTAAGTAGAAAATCATAACAAAAATCATTCTGTTCATTCATTCAAACATTTAATATGTCAACATTTTTCTAGACACCAGGATGCAGCAGCCAACAAGATACAAAACCCCTGCCTTCATGGAGCTTATATTCTACTACAGAAAGACAGACTACTGGCCTCCCTGGTGGTGCAAGAGGTTAAGCACCGTACTATGAAGCAATCCGCAGCCTCTGCAGCACAAGCTCAGTCCCTGGCCGGCGAGGGAGAAACCACATGGTGAAGCAGACCACTCCTGACTCGCCTGCTGCTCACCTTAGCAGTGTATTTCGGTTGATCTGCCTGTTCTGTTCCCCACTTTGTCTCTGGTGAATCCTCCCACCCACCACATATCTGTCCTGTACCCCAGCTCTTGTATGCATAAATAAATAAATCTTTAAAAAAAAAAAAGAAATAAAGAAGGACGACTAACCTAAATTAAAAGACATAGTAAGTTAGAAGGTAATAATGTCACAGAGGAAAATAAAGCAGAGAAGTGGGGCGGGGCAAGCTTGGAGGAGGTGGCCAGGGAAGGCTGCAAATTAGTGATGTCTGAGTGAGGGCTCCAAGTCTTGAGGGCCACAGCCAAGTCGATATGTAAGGACAGACTATTCCAGACAGTGCAAACAGCAAAAGCAATGGGTGAGGCAAGAATGTGCCGGGCATTGTGAGGAAATAATGAGTAAGTCAATGTGCTTAAATGCCTTAAACTGCTTCCAGATTAAAGGGTTACAATTAGGGACAAAATATCATTAACACAGTCACATTTTCGTAAACTCTTACAGCAGGAATGTACCTTTGAAAACACTTCCTCACCCCCCTGAATCTTATCAAGGGAGAAACGAGGAAGAGGAAGATGAGAGAGTAATTCAAGGTTGCACAGGCAGCCAAGAAAAAGTGTCAGGACAAGGGCCCCAAGTACAGCATTACAGGTTTCTTGTCACGCTCCAACTTTTTAATTAACAGAAACTTTTCTTATTTAAAAAAATTTGAAAAACCAACAGAAGAACCCAGCCAACGGATAATAACCATGGACCCGAAAATGGATGGATTTCACCTTTTCATTCAACAGATAACCAAGCGATGTATATGTTCCCTGAATATTGTTGTGGAATGAAAGCACTAACATGCACAATTACCTACACCTCACTGCCCAGCAATTAAACGTGTAGGTGTGTGACACAAAAGCTTGTGCACAAGGCAGCATATGGAATCACTTCTCAGATTCTCACTCAGTTTTTACTTTGATAAGGAAAAAAAAAATGGAGGGCCTCCCTGGTGGCGCAGGCGGTTGAGCGCCGCACTGTGACGCTGTCTGCAGCCTCTGCAGCGCGGGTTCAATCCCAGCCGGCTGGGGAAAAACCCACATGGCACAGCAGACCTCTCCTGCCGCGCCCACTGCTCCCCTCAGCAGTGCCTTCGGTCTGCCTGCCTGTTCTGCTCCCCACTCGGTCTCTGGTGAATTCTCTCACCCTCCCGCACCTCTGACCTGTACCCCAGCTCTTGTATAAATAAAAGCTTAAAAAAAATTTTGAAAGACAAACCTTCCCCATCATATTTCATAAAGTCCAACGCCCAGTTTCTCTGAACTCCAAACCTCTGTCTCTTTGCCCCTAAACCATAACATTATCATGATGCCAGGTGTTATCTGCTGCGAAGATGCTTTGACAAGTAGCGGTTTGGAGACAGGACTTCACTGTCAAGTACACTACTAGTCCCAGGACACAGTATCATTCCCCCGATCGAGTTCACAGATAATAGGAAGGTTTTTCAACAGTATTATAACCACCACCACCACAATAAACGAAGTACTGAAGCATCTCAGTGACTCTAGATGAAAAGCTGCAACAGCCCAGCAACATCTCCCACTGTGTTGTTACCCAGCACTGGTTAAAAGTGGTAAGAACTTTATAAATTTTCTCACATACAATTTACTCTTATGAGTCCAAGGGAAGAATATATTAACACGGGGTAGGCATCGTTGGGGAACGAGGATCGGATTGCACCCTCAGCAAAACTGCCAGCCACCTGCACGCGGGCACAGAGCAGCCAAAGCTGATCTTTGCTCCGCTGTTCAAACCTCCGAGGGGGGAGCCTGTCCCAGCTAAGATGAGCTTCTGCTAAGCCCTGCTGACCTGTGAGTCCCTCTGCCAAACCCTTACAGCCTCGAGATCGCTTTCTACGGAGAACTGGGATGTTTGGCCATCCCAGGCAGCTGGGGAATCTCCGCTCCCGGCAGGAAGACGGCGCCCACGGCAATCACCTGCGAGCCTGCGCCAGGGGAAGCCTCTGGGGGAGCTGAGCGCCCTCGAGTTCACGGAGGTGCCACAGAAATAAAGCTGCGCTGAGCTGGACTCCTTGGAGAAGCGCAAACCTGGATGGACAGCCCCGGCGAGGGCACGACTATGCCCTCCACTTATTCTGGGCTCCATCTACCCGGGCTGCAGCCTCTCCAGGCTCTGAGCCGCCGCCCTCCACAAAAAAAGAGGGAGGGGGTCGGTGAGAGTCCAAAAACGCGAGCCAGGCGTCAGCTCGAGAGCGCACTGGCACCCCGCGCGCAGCAGAAACTGAACCGCGGCCGCAAACCTGCCCCCGCCCGCTGCGCGGGGACCGGGGTGAGCGAGGGTACCCGCCCTCCCGGAGAGACCCGGCAGATGGCGGGCGCCCCCCTCGCGGCTCCCCATCCTCCCTCCTCGCGAAGTCCTGGGCGCCCCGAGCCTGTCCCAACTCCAGCATCCCTCCTCCCCGCCCCTTGGTGCTGCCGCGGGGAAAAGGACACGAAGGGTGGGGAACGGGGACCAGCCACAGGCCCGGGGGAGCCTGGCCTGCACCCGTGCCCCAGCCGAGGGGCTCCCAGAAGTCAGACAAGGAACAATAGCGGACCCCGGGGCGCCGGAGCCAGCCGGAGCCTCCGCCCGCGCCGACCTCCCCGGCTCCCCAGTTCCGCGCGGAGACCGGCCGAGCCAGAGGCGGGGACCGCGGGGCAGCGCGGCGGCGGGCGGCGGGCAGGTGGACGGGTCCCGGCTCCGGGGCGCCCCCAGAACGGCCGGCCGGGTCTGGCCATTCATTCCCACGCGCGCTCCCCGCGCGGTGCGCAACCCCAGCCGGCCTGCGAGTCGCGGGGCCCGCGGGGCACCACTTTCCTAACTTGACCGAGTCCTCCCTCTCTGCTGTGGTCCCCACTACTTTCCTCGTCTGCCCGCCCCCCCAATCTGCCCTCTGCGGAGCCGGCAGTGGACGAGGGAGTGGTGGCGGGACCCCGGCTGCCACCCCGCTGAGCCGCTCCACCCGGCGCGGCTCGCAGCCTCCAGAGCCCGAGTCCCAGACACAAAGGCGGGGAGCAGAGCCCGGGACCCCGCTCCGGGGAGCCTCCCCGCTCCCCGCGCCGCGCACTCACCCCATCGAGGCAGCCGCGGCGGCTTTCCCGGCCCCGCTCCGCGCCACCCCGCCCGCCGCTTCCCCAGGAAAGCGCGGCCGCCGGGCTCGCTTCCTGCCGGGCTTCCTGCGCCGCGGTCCCTCCTCCCGGTGCGGGGGTCAGTGGGCGCCGCGCTCCCGGGCTGGGCGGGCCGCGGGCGGGGCTGGGGCCGCGGCAGCACCACCACGTGGCCGCCCGGCGCCGGCCCCCGCCGACCTGGATCCCGCGGGAGCGGGAAGGGAGGTGCCTGCCTTCCCCCTCCCCTTCCACCCCGCGCGGGCCCGAGTCCGCGGGTCAGGTGACCGCGTCCCGCGCCCCGGCCGGGACCTGCGGGAGGTGCGCCCCGCCCCGCCCGGCAGCCGCGCGCCCCGGGCCCGCGCGCCCCGGCCTGGGCGCCTGGCGTTGGATCCCGCTGGCCCAGGCGCCCGTCCCCGCGCGCCTGACTGCGCGCCAGCACCTGAGGTCGGTGAGCCAGACCCCTGGATCCGAAGCAGGATTCGTTTCTGGTTCACGTCCAAGGCCGTGTGTGGGCGTGGGGATGTTTTACGCGCCTTCAAGCCCAAGGCAAATCGGGTCTAGTTTCCAAAAGTATTGAACAGAAAGTAAGCCGGCATGTGCGCACACCCTCCGACGCGCGAGCTGGCCGGGATGCTGCTTCCCCGCGGCCCCCAGCAGGCAAGGGAGACTCCCAGCCTTGCGTGGCGTCTGCTCAGGAGGCAGGAGAAATCCACAGCCTGAGCCGGGGCTTGTCTGGAGACCGCCCTCGGCAGTGCTGTCTGGGACGCAGAGCCAGACGGTCTCGTTACGCAGGACCCTGCAGCTTCTCTGCCTTCCCAGCCGGCTCAGGCCGGCGTTTGAATCACCATGGACTCCTTCATTTCCGAGGATTTCAAAGCCTTCCACCTACTCATTTAATTGGGGAAAGCTTCATTTTTTCTAGTAATGCTAACCTGCTATGGCTTAGAAAGTCCTTATCCACCAAAGCCCTCCCTTCTCCGAGTTAAGGGCATCCTTTGTGCAGGGCAGGAAGCTTTCTAGAATAAGTAGTATGAGTCCTTTTTGGTGGGACCCAGTCTAAGTCAATTGAAGAAAAGAAGCCAATTCCAACGGAAGTGAACGAAATTCACCCTCACATTCCCTTGTCAGCGTCCTGGTTCTATCTTGACCTCTACAGGCAGACTTTATCTGGCCTGTCCACCCCTACCCCCAAACACACACACCCCCTTACATCAGAGATTCCTTAGAGAAGTGATGAACACCCAGCTTAAGGCAAGATGTATGGTTCTCTTCTTGTCCTGTATCCCTCTCTCATATAAAATCTTGCTCTAAGAGAAATGTGAACTGGCCAACTTTTTTTTTGGCTTAATGCTGGCATTTTCTACAATGCAGTTTTTCATTGTGGTTCAGAGTAATGGTGTACAGTAGGGTATTTAGAGGGGAACAATACTGCTACTTGTGAGCCTTCTGTTCTGCATTTATCAAATCAGTCTTACCCAAGCAGGGGCAGCTTGGAAGGTGGGCTTTGGGGCGTCATCCACCGTATACCATGCTGCCTAGTAAGTTTACAAGTGCATATTCTGTAGTTGAAGGATTTTAAGTATCCAACAGCATTAAACAAAAAGTGTGTAAGTAGGCATCATCCATCTTTTCCTTTTTTTCTCTTTTACACTACAGTGCCCTGTCTGGCCACCTCCAAAGAGCCTGCCTGTCCATGTCAGCTCTGTGCTGTAGACACCAGGTGTGCTTTTTCCCCTTCCTTTGTAACCCCACCCTGTGACATCAGCATATCCAATTTTGGGGATGGGACTGATGTGGAGGGATGGACTCTGGCTGTTAGTCCAATGGGCTAAGATCCTTTACCAGTTCCCTGGCCTCCCCAAAAGTCAAGCCAACTTTCTACTCTAGAAGTCTTTACCTGCTTCAGACCAGAGTTGAAGACCTGTTGCCTTTAGGGAGATGACATGTGTGAGAATGAACATTGTATTCTCATCAGTTTTGTTTGGTTGGTTTTGTTGTTTTTCCCAGACCTTTTAAAGATCATTTATTTATGCATACAATAGCTGGGGTATGGGCCAGAGGTGCAGGGGAGGGGGGTGAGAGAATTCACCAGAGACAGAGTGGGGAACAGAACAGGCAGACTGACAAAATACACTCCTGAGGGGAGCAGCGGGCGAGACAGGAGAGGTCTGCTGCGCCATGTGGGTCACCTCCCTACCCAGGGATCGAACTCATGTTGCAGTTGGACAGCTTCATAGTGCTGACACTTAACCCCTTGTGCCACCAGGGAGGCCCCTTTCCCAGACCTTTTATATAGTTGACAACCACTCTGTGATGACCACCTAACCTGAGCATTGTTAGAAAACATTTGGAGAAGAACCCCCAAATTGAGTGAACTGGACTAAGAGTAATGAGAGCAAGGGGACAAAGTTTTTCAATCCCTCTGTTTCACTAACTTGCTATTTGAACTCCACCAAGTATTTAAATCTCTTCTGGTTCTACTTTCCTACTCCTGACATTGAACTACATGGCCTCTGGGAACTTTTTCACCTCTAACATTCTAAGCCCACACTTATAGTTTGAAGAGCCTTCGCTACAATATCATTCTTACATTTTATGGCAAATCATTGTTCTTTCATTGTTCTAGCAGATCATACCAACGATGCTGTCAAACCAACAAGATTGTAAACTCCTAAAAATGTTGCCATCCAAGACATAAATAAAATTCATTGATTGGTAGGACTCTATTTTATTTCTGGAAATTAAATAATATTGTATTTCTTCTTTCTTGCTTCATCTCTCACAACTATCAGTTCTATCCAGGCTAGGAACAGCTTAAGTCTGGAGAACCGAAGCTAAGACTTGCTGGGGTAACAAGAAGCTGTCCCTATAGGAGGAAATAGTGACAGGTAACCCAGCAGAGCCACAAAGGAACCCTCTACTTCATCTGGTGTTTGGTGAGGATCTGACTGCACTCCTGGATCTCGTTGGAGGTAGCATGTTTTACAGAAATGTAGTGATATTGGATCCATCCCAAAGAAAGGAACAAAAATATAATCAAGATGTTGGGAGGAGATAATCTAAGGGAAAAGTTTCAAATATTCATAGAAAAAACACTTTTTGTGTTTTCCTACAAATGTTTCCAAAGGGGAAGAAACTGGAACCTCAGAGAAATGAATAAAATAACTTTAGCATTGTTTTTCATAATTTAACACAACCATAATAATAAAGTTGCCTACAAACACTGGCCCATGGTTTTTCCACTTACCAGGGAACAGCAGAGATTTCTCCAAGATCAGGTTACTATACTTTCCTTCTCAGTGAACTTGGACACCTGCTCAGGTGAGGCTAAAATGCTTGGTAATAACCCATCCCAAAGCCCTGCAGAGCCCTACTTCTAGGAGAGTGGCAGAGAAGCCAAGGCCTCAAAAATATAGAGCAAGGCCTTAAGACTATCTGGCCCATCATCTCACATGAAAAATGGTCAGTGTCCAGAGCTGTGATGACCAATATGATCACCACCACACATAAGCACTTGAAATGTCACTCATCCAAACTAAGATGTACTATAAATGCAAAAAAGCAGCAGGTTTCAGAGACAGAATGAACAACAACAAAAAAAAGTATCTCACTGGTAATTTTTTATATTGAATGCATACTGAAATGCTAACATTTTGTATATATTAGGTTAAGTATATTATATTATTGACACTTTACTTTTTAGCGTGTGTGGTTAACTAGCAATTAAAGATGGCTATGTGGTTTGTGTTATATTTCTATGGGATAGCACTGCTAGCGGAGTTAATATTAACAGCTAACACACATTCAGTATCTACTATACTATAACACACATTCAGTATCTACTATACAGCAGGCACTTATTCTAAGTGACCTATACATTAAGTACCATGACTATATACTTAACTGACCGATCTGGGACAAAAGCATAAACTGAAACTGTCCTGAGCAAACCGTGGTGTTGGGCAATCCCCATGTTAGGTCAGTTAATCCCTAGGGCATGTACCCTGTGGGTACCTGAGGGAACTGGGGCACAGAGAGATCAAAGAACTTGCCCAAAGTCACACAGCTGGGAAGTGGCACTGCTGAGGAGGGCAGTCTGGTTCTAGAGCCTTCGGGCTCTGCTTTGGTGTAATACAATAGAGAGCAATTTTCTTTTAAGAGCAAATACGGATTGAGAATTTAATAGAAGGAAGGTTTTTCTTAATCCTACACCAACTTGGATAGAAGATGTGGAAATCAAGTTTCAAAGAAATCTAGCAACTTGTCCAAATCATAGAGCCAGAAAGAGTGGAGCCGAGAATCAAAGCTAGGGCTGCCAACTCTGGAGCCCCCCACTCCACCACTGCTCTTTGTCGCCTCTGGACCAGTTCTAGTCACAAACCACCCTCAGCTCCATCTCATTACTTCTCCCCATCCCAACAGAGGACTGGACCAGACAGGACCCGAACCCAGGCAGCATCAAATTTGGAACCGGCAACAAACACCAAACACTCAAACGTGGTGGTCTCTCCTTTCTCAGAAGGAGCATTTTAAGAGAATCCAAATAGCCACATTGCTTGTTCTGCTGGGTGCCAGAAAATATTTTTCCATCAAGGTGGTGGAGGAGGGTGTTGTAAATTCAGGAACGTAAAGAAGGGAGTTCCTTGGGGTCATCAGAAGTCTAAGAAGAGCTTTTCCAAAGCTCCACAGTCAGAAGCAGTAACACCTCCTGTAAATCCACGCTCGGTGTTCTAGCTTTCTCTGCGGTGGGTCGCCATCCTGGCAGCCACCTTTAAAAACCACCTGCCTTTGAAAACCACCACTTGCCTTGGACTCATACTGTAGGAGTCTGATTAAAGTGGGTCAGTGTGGGGTCACCATTGGCATTTTATATTCTTCACCCCTACCCCCAATATCATAAAGCGAGTCTCCATTTTCACTGGCTATTGCAGCCCTGCCTAGAGCATCTGGTTCTTGAATTAGCATTGCAAACAGAGAGAGATTAGGTGAAGAGGGTGGGGTGGGTCTTGCAACTGGCTTTACAAATGTCAATGCTTCAGAAAGATTTCTTGAGGGACTGCTACTTAAGCAAGCATTGTTTTTGTTGGCTTGGTCTACTTGTTTTCTATGATGGCATTAAACCTGAGCTTTGAGATTTTTGTCTTGCTCACTAAAAGCAACTTCTGTCCATGAGATATTTTAATTTGTGTTCTTTCCTTATTCAAAAGTGCACTCATAATACATCTGTGTACTGCTTTTGCTGATGAGTTATTCTGCATCTGTTAGGGCTTCCCATTTGGTTTTGTTTTTTGTTTTATGTTTTTTTGTTTTTTCAAAAGCTTTGCAGCCATTGAGCTTCTGTTATTCATTTTCACTTTCTCATTTATGTTCGCTTTCTTTAAAACCCTCAGTAGACTACATAAGTGGATTGTTTGTTGTTTTCAGAATTGGTCTTTCTACTATGCGAGTGAACATATTTTAAGAGACGTCTTCCACAGCAGACTCAGTGCTTAAGATATATTATCACATGACTGTGAAGATACTTAACAAAATGCCACAGGTCTTTTGTTTGTTTTGCTTTGATACAAATTCCTCACCGATCCAAATATGCGCCTGAGCAGGTTCCTCATGTTCAAGATGAAGGTTCTTCTGAGGTAAAGTTATCGTTCTTCTTTGGCCTCCACTTTCAAAGAGAATCCTGTCATTTTTGTTCTAGACTTCCTGTTTGAATTTCAGAACAAGGAGATGAAGACCATGAAAATGTTTCTGACTATCCGTGACAAGTCAGAAGAGAGGAGAGGGCCAAGATTGGGGGAGCCAGAAAACTCACTATGGACACATTCCTTCAACTGAAAAGGGACGGGGAAGGACCACAGATGCAGCAGCAACAGGAAAGGAAGCCCTGGTGACTTCCTCCCGTGGGTTCTTAGAATGCTGTGGACACAAATGTCAAGAAGACAAATTGGCTTCACAATAATAGACCAGTCAAGACAGGAGGGCAGAGTTCTGCTGTTAGGATAATGAGGGCACTTTGGGCCAACCAGAGGGGTTTGTCCTTTCTATAAGGGAGGCTGGGAGGTCTGATAGTGTTATAGGACAGGGAGAGGGGCAGCCCAAACCCCCACAAACCTGCCTATTCTAAATGGGTTCTGCCATCTGCCGCATCAACACAAAACATGAGACTTTAATGGGAAGGAACTTTAATAAAACTAGGAAACAATACAGGAAAGGCAAAGAATACAGTTTGTAAATCAAGCACCCAAAGTTACCCGTCCCCTCGTGGGTAAAAGTCCATCCATATGGGATTGGCCCAGAGCAAGGCCCCAAAGCCTGCCACAAGTCTACAGCATCTTCCAGTGGGGACCCACAGAAAAGAGTCAGAAACAACCAAACAAGCCCGGAAGGAAAAGAGCAAAATCAACATCAAGATAAAAGCTGCCATTGTCACCTCCCCACAGGTCTCACCCACATCTGTGTCACCCCGTCCACGACCAAAAGACAAGCGCAGTTTCTTCACGTGTCTCTAGGCTCCATGCGCCTCCTCCAGGTCTCCTTCTGGCTCCATCCTGCTTCCTTCCTCAGTCTCTTCTTCAGCTTCTCCTCTTCCTGCTCAGCTCCACCCTCCCTTGGGTGGGGCAGGGAACCTCCCCCTTTCCTGGGGACCACCCTGTTACAATAGGGTCTCCTATTAGCTTTGTGGGCTTCTGTGGAGTATTTTAAAACTGTGTCCCAGGCCTCTCTGGTGGCACAAGGGTTAAGACGCAACCTATGGGGCCTCCCTGGTGTTGCAAGGGGTAAAGTACTACGAAGCAATCCACAGCCTCAGCAGCACAGGTTCGATCCCCAGCTGGCCAGGGAAGTACCCTCATGGCACAGCAGACCTCTCCTGACTCGCCCGCTGCTCCCCTCGGCAGTGTATTTCAGTCAGTCTGCCTGTTCTGTTCCCCACTCTCTCTCTGGTGGATCCTCTCACCTCCCACACCTCTGGCCTGTACCCCAGCTCTTGTATGCATAAATAAATAAATCTTTAAAAAAAAAAAAAAAAACCTGTGTTTTAAGAGGAGTCTCCAGTCCAATATTACTCTCATTTTGAGCGACATAAATGATGAGAACATTCAGTGTACTGCCTCCCCGGCTGATTCGCCTCACTGATCGTCTTGTCTTCCTCTCCAACTCTGGGTGTTCTTGTTTGCATGTTTAATTCAGAGGTATATAAAATTATTCCATGTCAGGGGGACATCTTGGAGAAAGTTTAGAACAGTATGTGTGAGGCCAGTTCTGCAGAAGATGATGACAACAAAGAAGCTGTAATAGGAGACTTCCAGCAGTCTGTGAGAGGATTTCTCTGTGGGAAGCATTTTTCAGCTACTGGGCACCATTATGGTTTCACTCTCTTTATTTTCTCTGTTTCTAAACATACAGTAAAGAAGAGAAATCAAAGACTTTGAAGCAAACAAAGAAGAAAAGCAATCAGGTAGTGGGGCTGAACCTTGGCTTCTCCACTTGTGCAATTTGGGGCAGATCACTCTTGGCAGATAATCTCTCTTCATCTGCAAAATGGGTGGGGGGGGGAAGGAATATTAGTACCTAGTTCTTGGGCTATTTTGGAAGTTAAATAATTAATGCATGTGAGGCATTGATAATAGTACCTGGCATGGTATATGAACTAAGTAAATAATACTGATAATAATTATGAAGATAGAAAAATGAAGAGAATTATAAAATCAGAGGAAAGGAATAGTGGGATATATCAAAATTCAAGTGCTATTAAAATATTATACCCTGCAGTTTTTACTATTGTTAAGTCTTATGTGAAAATTTTATTTATGAGTTAATATGCAAGGTATAGCCCTGAACACACATAAAAAGAAAAAATATGGTATGTCCTTAGTCTTCAAGAGCTTCCAATCTATTTGGAAGCTAGATGGTCTGGATGGCCTAGACATACATGGACAGAGACCCACGAAAAGAATGCAGCAAATGACCACCTGCTGTCTACATCTGCGGCACTGTTCCATGGCTGGGCTAAGCCATGTTGGCCCACAATCCAAGACATTTGAAATGTAACACTTACTATTCTGTTGAAATCTTATGAAGCAGTGTGCTACGGGAAACAAAATATAAGGAAACTCTTCTCCACCCACAGGCATTCCTATTCTAAAGAGCTACTGTTTTAGAATGATTACACCTTGCAGTTCTATGCTAGTTAGTACTGTTGTGATGGCAACAGCAGCAGCAGGGCTACCAGCAGCCTGTTTCAAGAGAACAGTGATGGTCACAAAATAAAGGCCTGTTTTGAAAGGTTGTGTGCTTTGGATCAGTAGCTCAAGGTTATCAGATCTGTGATCTCTGTGATTCTCTAGATTTTCCTTTCATTGTTACCAGGCGGCTTACCCACATACAACATCAATTCTGTGTTCCAGCGGGAGGAAAGTTCAGCTAATGTCATCAGCCCCTCTTGGGAGATTGAAAATCCTACCTATTTGGGGAGATGGCCAATAGACAAAGACGGGCAGAGAGCCACCAAAATAAGGCAGAAAATGACTCTACTTTGTTTTCTAAGTTGTCAGCACTATATTTGGCTTTGCCAAATCTCACCTGTATCCCGTAGCTATTCCCATCTGAAAGGAAGGAAATCTAGACCTTTCAGCTGGATATATTTTACATCAAATGAAATTGGGATTCTGTCAAAAGGAAAAGGGGAGAATGGATACTCCCCTTATCTGTGGTTATACAACAAACAACCTCAAAATTTAATAGCTTCAAACAGCCACAATATATATATATATATTTTTTTTTTCCCTAACTATGGTTTAGCTAGCTAATTCTTCTGCTTTATGTGGTGTGAGCTGGGGTGGCTAAAAGGTCTGAAATGATCTCACTTACAGAGTCAGTAGTGGGTGTGTATCCTTGGCAGGAGCTCAGCAGGCATGGGTGGTTGGGACCTGACTTCTCCTTTACATGGTTCCTTGGGATTCTTCAGGGACTGGTGGCTGTATCTCAGGAGTATTCCAAAAGGATGAGTCCCAGTGTGAAAGTGTTTACAAAGCTTCCTCTTACTTTATGTTGTGAACCTCATGGTCCCACTGGCCCAGGTTAACCGCATAGCCAAGCACAAAGTTAAGGTGGGGAGGGACTGCCAAAAGGGGAAGCACAGTTCAATGGCACCCCCAAAGTACCCTTCCCCATAGCTAGACATCTGGCTCCTAGATATAGGTTAAAATTTATCAAATGCCTATATTGCAGCAAACAGGGAGCAGAATACTTAGAATACATTGCAAGTATCAATTATGAAAATCCTCACGACAACCTTATAGGGTAAACACTCTTATTCTTTCCATATAGTGATGAGGAAATAGATTAGAAAAGGCTAAGAAACTTGGTCAAGGTCACTTAGTAAGATAACACTAAGGCTAGAACTTGAACTCAATTTGAACACTCAGCTTGGTTTGTGAGCTCCTTCTGGTTGCAGGGAGATGGGAAGAAACCAAGTGACATGTATCTAATGAAATAACCATTTCGAAAGAATTTCCCATGTTTTAAATACCATTCACTTTCCTACTCCCCCTCAGAAGGTATGGGGAGAAAAGTGTGACCAGATGCAGGGCTGTGCCAAGTAGGTGGTCACTGACTCCCTCATCTCAAACCTACTCATGCTGGGACTCCCTTTAAAAAGCGTACACGGTCAAAGGTGGAGGTCAGGACTGACATTAGACAAGAAAAGTTTGGAAGGTTACATTTGCCCTTGGGAAATCTGAGGAAGGACTCTGACACATAGGAGTCTTGTTGAAGGAATCCTTCAAAGAATTTCGGAGAGGGAAAATATGTATTGAATTTACACGTGGGCAAGTGTGTCAAAAGTGAATCTCCCTAACATGCTAAAAACACTTTCAGTTTGTGGAATGTTTAGGGTAGACATTACACTTCTTTGTTTGAAAGTGAGTTTCTCAGAGTGTTTGTCTGCAGAAATACTGAACTGGGATCTCTAGTGAGGAGGTCTGAAAATGTGCATGTTTAAAGAACATTCTAAGTGACTCTCATACATAACACATTTGTAAATCATTGGTTAAAAGTCTTCTTTTAGGATGATGATTTTTAGATTGGACTTTTCAAAATTTAAGGCTTTGAATCACCTGGGATCTCTTGATAAAGCAGATTGTGACTTAGTAATTCAGAAGGGAGGCTTGAGATTCTGAAGTTCTGTGTTTCTAAAAATTCCCTGTGAAGCTGCTTGTTTTGGGAATCACTATCTGCAACAAAGCTCCGAAACATTAGAGAAAAAAAACAAACCTTTTTGGTTTGTAAAACACAGTATATATAAGCAGTGGGAGTGGAGGCAGGGACCCCCGTACACAGATCTACACAGGAAGATGGAATGTCACTGTCCTTTCTGAAAGGACGGGCCACTGACAGAAGGCATAGACACCGCAGCAAAAGAGGGAGCTTGGAGATGCTCAGAGCTGACTTACAATTAAGGTGACACAGAGGGCCAGTTAGGAAGGTGGTTTTCTAAAGACCAGAGGAACTCAGATGATATGAAAATGTTACCAGAGGGTGAGTGTCCATTGACCTGATGACCAAAAGCCAAAAATTCAGAAACCAGGTTTGCTAAGCAGAGCAAGAAAATTATTGCCTGACAAAGCAATGGAGAATGCAGAACTCATGGTCTGCATGAGTTTTCCCTGAATCTCAGGGAAGGAGCTTCTTTTTATTTAGGGAGAGTATATGACATGAATTTAGGGCAGAATCTCCACATTCACGCACAGATTTCTTTTGTGCCAGGCACTTTTACCTTTTTGCACTGTTGCAAACATTGCCTTTGCCCACGACCCTACAGCTAAACTACACTACAGCTAAACTATAGCTCTGTACAGCTGTAATTTTTAGCACATCTACCTCATGGTTACAAAAAGGGCTTGAAGAAATGACATAAATGAAAATGAACATAAATATTTTAATCTGCTGAACAACTCTTCATGGGAAATAAAATCTTAATGATAGAGTTATTAGAGAATTAAATAGAGCATTCAAACTCAGGACACAGTCTGACAGATTTTACTCTGGGAGAACAATTTGAGCAAACACCAGTTTGAATTTAGTTGATATAGGTAGGAACAGTGAGATATCATTAACATTAAAAATGGGTCTATCTTGACAGGGGTTTTCTGGTTCTAAGTTGTTTTGACTTAAAGATATATTGATAATATCTATGCGCAGAGGAAGGCAATGCAGAGATTAAATCTCTCTCTTTCTAAAGAATGTACTGCAAAATTACAAAGGCTGAATACCCATTAATTAAATCTTTTTTATCCAGCTCCTTGGTCATTAGCGAGGGTTGGGAAGGCTGGCTACCAGCATGCTGCAGAGTTGGCATAAACTATCCAGACTTCAAGTCCTTGCAGATGGCTTGCTCTCTTGTTTGCTAGGGTAGGGAGGTGTCATTCCCAGAACATTTTACCTATGCTCACACTCCTATATTGCAAAAATACACAATTTATATAGGGTTTGTGTGATTTGAACTCTAACCTTTTAAACTAGTATAGCAGAGGGAAGATACTATGTTATTGATTATGTGTTCATTTACTAAAAAATTAAATCTTTAATCCTTGCAAATGAATCTGGATACCATAACTAGACAGATGCCACCCCAGGAGTAGGCCTATGACAGTCTAGCACATTCTCCCTTAGCAAGTGAACCTTGCTACAGTGCTTAGCTTAATTACAGAATGGCTTGCATCGATTCCACTCTTTCCAGTTAACAAAGCACTTTTACACCCATTCGCCACATTTTTACCTTCCAAAAAATAAGAAACAAGGCAATATTTACCATTCTATTTTGCAGATAAAAATATAAGTTACAAAGAGTTTTAGGGGGCTGTCTAAGAGGCAGTCAAAGTTTCAGCCCCAGTTTTCTGAGGCCCAGTCCCCAAATTTCTTTGCTACAGGATATTCCCATAATTACTGGCATCTCACTTATAGAGGCACCAATGTAAGAATGTTCTCTGTACCCCCCAGTGGAAGCAACTGCACAATGGCTTCAGACATAATTGGAAAAGGTTGCAAGCGGAGGCTGGGAATGGACTTGTGGCTTCAGCAACATAGAAGGCTGGCAATTCTGAATGCTTTTCCCTTATACAAATACATAAAAACATAGAATAATATATACCAAACACTTGATTGAATGCTAAACTACAAGAAAGGAAGTGAGATTTACAGGAGGCAAGAAAAAGCTGAAACCAGAGTGGTAAGTTAATCCTGAAGCCTGGGGCTGCAGTGGGGTACCCCCTGCTCCTGGGAGCTCAGTTCTCTGTGGGTCAAATAGAGTGAAGTCTTGTGGGAATGAGAGCTAGGGTTCTGGAAAAAGGTAGGTGATTCAAACATCCACACACTCAAGTCAAAAGTTGGGTTGGGGCCTCCCTGGTGGCGCAAGGGTTTAAGCACCACACTGTGAAGCAATCCATAGCCTCTGCAGCAAGAGTTTGATCCCCAGCCAGGGAGCTACACGCATGGTGAAGCAGACCTCTCCTGTCTTGCCCGCTGCGCCCCTCAG